CTTTTAAGACATGTGCACAGGGGCTCCCCAGCCATCTTGTTGGTCCTCTACCTTAGTTTTTGAGATGGAATCTCTCACTGAACCTGAAGCTCACTGTTTCAGATAGAATGGCTGGCCAGTAAGCCCAGGGCTCTGCCTATGCTGGGGCTACAGACATCCATCACCATGCCCAGCTTTTTAAAAAATATTTTATTTATTTATATTTTATGTGTATGAGTGTATTGCCTGCATGTGTTCAGTGCACCTGTGTCATGTAATGCCCAGGGATATCAAAAGCAGGTGTTGAATTCCCCTGGAACTGGAGTTTTGGACAGTTGTTAGCCACCATGTGGGTGCTGGGAATCAAACCCAGGTCCCCTGTAAAAGCAGTCAGTGATCTTAACCACTGGGCCATCTCTCCGGCCCCCAGGCCCACCTCTTATGTGGGTGCTGGGGATCAAACCCGGGTCCCCTGTAAAAGCAGTCAGTGATCTTAACCGCTGGGCCATCCCTCCAGCCCCCAGGCCCACCTCTTATGTGGGTGCTAGGGATTAAACTCAGATCCTCATGGTTCTGCTGCAAGCACTTTACCCACTGAGTCTCCTCCCTAGGCCTGTAGTGTTTTCTCCCTGTATTTTTAATCTGATTTCCATTTTCCTTATGATTAATAATGTTAATCAACTTTTCTTGTGCTTATTTTGAATTACTAGTTTTTAAATACTCCATTGGGAATAGGGTTAATCTTGTCTTAGCAAAGGAAGAAAGTTATAAGACAGATGCCTTAAAGAATGTCATTTTCTTGGGATTGGAGAGATGGCTCAGTGGTTAAGAGCACTGAGCTACATGAGCTTCAGGCCAGTCTGGACTATGAGATGCTGTCTCAAAAAGATTTTTTAAATGCAGAAAAAGTTTGAAAGGACAGAACTGACAGGACTCCCTTTCTGGCAAGCACTGGCCAGGATATACGCACGTGCATGGAGGTCGGGGGTCAGGGTGAGACTGAGAAAGGATAGAGAAGACAATAGCAAATAGATGATTAGATCATCGGGGAGAACACCCCACATAACAGAGTGCCTGAAGGAGGAGGCTAAGACCAGAAACTAGGGGAAGAGACTGAATGTAAAAGTAAGCTCCTTCATAATTTTGTTCAGAGCAGCACTATTATTTAGAACACCCTAGGCTAGGATAACTTCTCTCCTTAGTCTTTTTTTCTGTATTGTTCCAACTTTGGGCTTTTTTCCCTTTCCCAACTCCTGCTTTTTCCCCTCATTTGAGAAAAGGGGGGAAGCTTTTGTAGTAGCAGGCACTGACTGCCTCAGTCCCCTTCTTTGCCTAACTCTTCAATCAAAACTTTAGTTGTTCCCAGTTTCCTCATTACTATACTATAGTGGTTAAGAGTTCTGTTTCTGGATCCAAACTGCCTCTGTTCATCTTCTGACTCTGTCATTTATTAGCTGTATGACTGTGGGAAATTTGCTTAATCTTTCTGTACCTTTGTTTCCTAAAACCAGACATAAGGGACTGGATAGATGGCTCAGTGGTTAAGAGCACAGAGGACCCAGCACTCACATGGTTGTTAACAACCATCTGTAAGTCCAGTTCCAGGGGATCCGATGCCCTCTTCTGACCTTATTGCACAACATGTGTGCGCTTACATACATGCAGGCAATGCACTCATACATGTAAAATTAAAAAAAAAAAGATATTAGCTCTGGGGTATAGTGCTTGCATAACAGGCCCAGAGTTTAGCCCCAGTGCACAAGAAAACAAACAAACAAACAAAACAAACTAGAGATAAGAGCCGTGTGTGAGCATTTGATCAAGTGTTTGCATGTGTGAGTGTGGAGATAGAGACAGACATACAGTGATAGAAGAATATGATTTTCCTTAGAGAGTTATGAGAATTAAGTGAATAATTAGTATTATTTAGTTTATTTGGAGGGGGGGTTGAAACAGGCTAGTCTCCAATTCCAGATGTAGTTAAGATGACATTGAGTTCCCAGTCTTCCAGCCTCCACCTCCCAAGTGCTGGGATTACAGGAGTATACCACCACATCAGGCTAAGTGAATTATTATTATTGTCATTATTTTGCAGTGCTGGTGATCAAACCCAGGGACCTGTGCAGTGCTCTATCACTGGGCTACACCTTTACTGAATTAATTTCTAAAAATATTTTATTATTTTTTATTTTATGTGTATGAGTGTATTGCCTGCATGTATATAAATGCACCATGTCGTGCAATGCCTGTGGAGGTCAGAAGAGGGTTTCAGATTCCCTGGAACTGGAGTTAGGACGGTTGTTAGCCACTGTGTGGGTGCTGAGAACCAAACCCGGGTCCTCTGCAAGAGCAGCCAGTACTCTTAACTGCTGAGCCATCTCTCCAACTCTAACTCCATGTATAAGTATTTTTAATGTGTTTACGCATTGCCTGGCAGATTTTCATTTCTAAATAAATGTTAGCTACTAATCAGATTTGAACTCCTTGACCCCACTTTCAAGGAGTCTTGTAATCTACCTTCTGCCTAGCTAACTTTCTATCCCATGATTCCTTGCCTAGTTTGAGTTTTGCTGGTTTCCTCACAGAGATGAACCTGTCCATAACTCCCAATGTTTCCCATTGCCTGGAAAGTCCTGAACAATTCAAACCCTACGCAGTGCAGTGCCATCTCCTCTGTTACCTTTTATCTCATTACTGTTGGGAGCCTCTGTTATGCAAAGTCGAAGCCCCTTCATACCAGACAGCTCATGCTGCTCGGGAATTATGTGCTGCGGGGTCCTTTCATAGCGGGATGTCTTCCTGGTATCTTTCCTGTCTCTCCTTTTGAAGTGTCCACCACAAATGCCATAACATAAACATGGCCTTTGGCTCTAACAGGTACCATGCCTTCCTGTAATTTCTCCAGGCAGACAACAGTCTAGCAGTGTGGCAGAAATCCACTTCTATATGTAAATACAATGCCTCACAAATCATCTAACAGCCAAAGCTTTTACCACTACCCCCATGGTATAAATGCCTTAGTCTTCTCTTAATAGTCAGAGAATTGGGCTGCAGAGATTCAGGCTGCAGAGAACTGGGTCGCAGAGAGCTGGGACACAGGGAGCCGGGTCTCAGAGAATAAAGCTGTAACACAGACTAAGACCTGAGTCTTGTGTCATTACCGGTGGCCCAATCTCTCTGGGGGGCACACTCCCTCGTGACTGGCTTACGGACACCCTAGCTTTCGCCATCTCCCTACTCTTCCCTGCGTGGTTCTGTGGCCAGGAACCTCGCATCCTGAGGAATAGTACACAGGTGAAATACAGACGGGATTTCGGCTGAACAATGCTTCAGTAGCAGAGGAAGCTGTCTGCACCAGAGACTCAGGACTCGAGCCTCCGAGAGAAGCCTGCATCCGCAGCCACGGCCAGAGACGCCTGTGGCCAGACCCGCCAGCGACTAGCCAGGTGTGGCAGGGGCCCCCGAGATCCAGGGGCCAGGAGCACCCCGAGATATCCACGCACACCACGCCTGAGGCCCATAGAGACACGGAGAAGCCAACAGGACCAGACCAGCTTTCCTCCAGACGCACGGCGGGAGAGTGCGCGCAGGGACCCCGAGCGCCCAGAGAGAGCGCACCCCCCCATACTTTACTTTGGCTTTCACCCACCATTTTTCCACATGAATTTACAAAGCCTTAGAATCTAGTGATGAATTACACATTCATAAACAGGAGTGGCTGCCCGTGCCTACAAACCCAGCACTTGCGGGGTAGAGACAGGAGGACCAGGAGCTCAGTGTCATCCACAGCTACATGGTAAGCTGAAGGCCAGTCTGGGCTACCTGAGACTATCTAAAAACGAAAATAATTATATACTCACGATTCCTTCCTGTGAGCCAGTTTCGTCTCTGAACAGCTTGTACATTCCCTGAGGGCAGAAACAATGGCTGATAACTGTGAGCCCTAAAGTGAACACTTTGCCTGAACTTCATTTCACATATCTGTAAAGGGATTCAACATAGGCAAAAGAGGACAACATAGAGAATTCATAGCTTTAATAACAGATTGGCTAGTGGGGGAGATGTTAGCTTCTGTATCTGTGCCAGTATCTAAAAGGTCTCTGACTTCCTTCACCTAAGGTTCAGACAGTGCCCACTTCATTTTAGAATTGAGAAAGCAGAATACACCTTACTCTTGAATAGTCATCAAACAGACTTCTTTCCCCTATTATTTTCTTTTTAAATTTTCTTATTGATAATCACCATATCTTCCTTTTTTAGTTCTTGCCTTTAAGAAATCTCAACCCTAGTGGGGTGTGGTAGTGCACGCCTTTAATGCCAGCACTCGGGAGCAGAGGCAGGCAGATCTCTGTGAGTTCAAGGCCAGCCTGGTCTACATAGTGAGTCCTAGGACAGCTGGGGCTACAGGGAGACCCTGTCTCAAAAAGACCAAAAGAAAAAAAAAAAAAAAAAAAAAAAAAAAGAAATCTCAACCCTAATCGGTGTGGTGGCAAATGCCTTTAATCCCAGCATTCCAGAAGCAGAGGCAAAGGCAAACCGATCTCTATGAGATTGAGGTCAACCTGGTCTACATAGCTAGCTAGTTCCAGGCAAGCTGGGCCTGTAGGGAGACGCTGTCTCAGAACAAACAAACAAACAAACAAACAAACAAGAAAGCAAGCAAGAAACAAGGAATGAAAGAAAAAGAAAAAAGAAACAACTCTTTGGTTCTCTGCTGGAGGCCTCCCATAATCTCCAGGCTTTGTGGGAGTGAGCTCAGGTGTAGATGGAGTGGGACAATCTACTAACTACAAATGGAGCTGGGAAAATTCTCGATGAAGAGGTCCTACCAAGGTCTGGAATGCAAAACCCTGGCCCCTAATCTGAATTCCGTGATCATTTCAACCTTGGACAGCAGCTTCATATGACCCCAGGTAAGTGTCATGGTCTCCCGTATCTGAACGTCCCCGCTGTTTCCTTTGGCACCTCTTTGTGTTTTCTCATGCCAACCTCTACCCCAAATCATTTCCAAACCAGTCATGGGGCTGCTGGTCTACTTACTGAACGCAAAGCCACAGAACAAACAGGCCTGAAAGAAGAGGAACTAGGAAGGCTGCAGGGGAGAGGCGAGCCCCTGCATCTGAGGGGAAGAGGTGCAATTTCTCTAAATCTGGCAGAAAGTTTCGTGCATCCTCTAGAGCTGCCTGAGCAGCCACAGTAAAGTTAGGATCACCAGAGACTGAAACATCAAAGACACAGGATTGGAAGTAAGCATCTTCCACCGGAAGTCCTTCTTTACAGAGCTGTCTGGCAGTATCTACGGTTATAGCTCCCCGACGGTTGCGTTCTGAGCGAGAGAGCCGCTGACTTGGAGGGCACCCCCCAACACAGAGCTGCAGGTCTTGCTCAGCTGAGAAGGCCCTCGCCACATCCTCTGCTACCTTGATGGAGAAGGAGAGCTGCCCAGCTGTCTGCCGGATGATTATAGTTGTGCCAATGTAGGCAGCTCGAATCTCCACATAGCTCCCAGGGTTAGTCGTCTGAATGGACAAACTCGAGCCCCCGGGTCGGTCACCCCCATTGATAGAACCGTCTTCAAAGGCTGCAGGAAGATTGTCCACCTCAGCCTGGTAGACCTTCTGGTCAATGCACTCCTGCATGTTCTTAAATATGATGGTGAGCTGTGAGGGCAAGAGGGAAAATAGTTCATTTGAGGTTTAGTGCACCCTCCCCCGACCCAATCAAACCATATGTATGGTCAGGGATCTGATCCCAGCAAAGATGCAAGGCTTCTTCATGGCCCTCAATCCCTCATCCTCCCCCGCCCTTGTTATTTCCCAATAGTACCTCACTCCTATTCAGTCCCTCTCTCTAGTTTTTGGTTCAACCTCAGCAACCCCTGGAGAGGATTAGTGTCCCTTTTGAAACTCCTCAGCTCGGCTATCCCCAGCCGCTATCCCAGGTTTCTATTTAGTGTTACCTACGTTGAATGAACTTCCCATCTAGAGAAACTGAGCTACCAGAGCAAGTGTGTGGTAGGAAGAAGCCATTCCGGATGGAAGGCTATGATTGAGAAAGAACAGGAATCGTGGGATTGGGAAGGAGAGTGTAGCGAAGTGACCTGGAGAAGACTTCATGAGGTGGGCAGGGAGGAAAAATGAATCTCTGACCTTCCGAGTGGTAGTAGCATTGGCCCAGGATGCCACCGGGGAGCTGGTGGCCTGAACGAAAAGGAAGTCATTATCCAGCAGGGGCCACGCTCCTTGGACACGGCATGTGTGGAAATGGTGGTAGAAGCTGCGCACGTGGGGGTCCCCGAAGGAAGCGCAATGCAAGAAGTCTGGGGGACGACCGTGCAGCCTGGAAAAGCGACCCACGTAGTCACACGGGTCTGGTGTAGGGGGTGCAGGCCCGGCGCCCGGAAGGGCAGGTCCGCGGGCAGGCGGAGGGGCCGTGGGGCCCTGGCGTGAGCAGTTGTGTTGGATCATCAAGTCCTCGATGCCATGCACAGCCGAATGGAAGGCCAGGTCGCCGCGGCAGGTGCGCGCGGTGCGCCGCGTGCAGAGCGCATAGGAGCGGAGTGCGCGGCACAGGCCACCTGAGGCCAACCCGCCGCCTCGGCCACCGCCTCCGCGCAGCGCACCCGGGGAGCCCCCTCCTCGAAGGCTCAGGGTGGACGACACGTACTCAGCGTTGCAGCGGAGGATCTTGCACTGGGAATGAGCTAAGGATGCAAGAGAGAGGACTCTGAGAGGTACCCAGGCCCCCCCGGAATGCTCCCAGCTCCCAAATGGCCGCCCAGCTGTTCCTAGAAACCAGGCTCTTCCTCAGCCCAACCTTCAGCACCATAGTCCTCGACTCTCGTTCCTTCTTTCCCTCTTACTAAGCCATTTGGAGTTTTTCTTCCTATGATCCAAGGGCTCAGTCAGAGCCTTTTCCCGAGTTGAATAAGAAATAAGACATTTTTGGAAATGAGTGAGTGACGGGGACTCAGCACCCATTCTTGCTCACTCACACACGCCCACCCCTATGCAGCAGCCTACCCTCTAAATGTCCCCAAGCCCTTCCCTGGCCCTTCCTTACCATGTCCACAGAGGAGCAGCAGAAAAGTGAGAGTGCTTAGAGTTGGGGAACTGTCATGGGGGGACCGGGGACTAGAGGGCTGGCTTCGATGGCCCATACCTATCCAGCCAGGTCCCCCCAGGCGCCGGTTCTTCCCAGCTGATGACCCTCCTACCTAGTGAATTTTGACTGGCCGTCCTGTGACTGAAAAAAGAAATTTGGCTGGGCATGGGGAAAGAGAAGAGTCGCAGACTAGTCAGGATGTGTGTCGACAACCTGGGGAGATCAAGAGGAGGGTTAAACAGACTGGAGTTTGGGGAGAAGGAAGCCTCCCAAAGGATAAGTGTGGCCGGTGAGCCTCTGTGCCCTGTTCCAGTAGCCACCTTCAGGGCCCTTGTGCAATACCCCTAGGTGGGGGTGGAGGGAAGTTGCATGACCTCCCTGGGCAGAGTCCACTATGTTGCCCCATCCTGACTCCCAAACAGCAGATGTGTCAAAAATAGAGGAAGTCCTGGGGGGAAAGATGAGACCCCTGTTGTTAGTGGGTTCCCCAGTAGAATCAGGATCCTGAACCACTTCAGAAACATACCTCCTATGAGCCCTCCCAGTCAGAAGAGGCCACCTGCCCAGACTCATGCATTTCTATTTCTTCTTCATGTTAGAAGAACACAAAAAATAAACGTAGAGTACCTATGCTTTCTAGAATGTCGCCTTTCCAATGAAAAGGGGGCCACTCTCCAGCACTACCTTTAGAGGGCTGCCATTACAATCCCTCCCTCATGGAATGGGATGCAAACCAAGCATTCAAATCAATATTTGTTTTTGTTAAGTCAACAGTTCTTGTATTTTTCCAGGTCTGACTGAAGAACCACTCTTCCCACTATTCTCCCCTTTGCAAATTCAGGCATCCCTGGTCTTTGGAGGAGGATGAGAGCTGGAAGGGTCTACCTCTCTCCCTTTCTGTTGCCAAAATCCCCTCTTGGGAGTAAGTAAAAAGTGTTGAAAGAGCCCTGCATGGGGCCTGAGAACAGCATAGAGGGATTAGAGTGGTGAGGTGAAATAATTTACAAAAAGGGTTATCCCCCACCTTTGGAAACCCAGTGTGAAAGGCCTTGTGGGGGGGGCAGGGTAGAAGAGCATCAGTGAGTGATCATCTGATGTCACTCTTGGTCTTGATGAGAAAACTACAAAATAGAGGCATAGGGGAACTCCTCCTGAAACTTCGTCAGAAATCATGAAGTAGGGACCGGGAATGCAGTTCAGTGCTGGGTAGTGCCTTAGCATGCTCAAGGCCCTGGATTCCATCTTCAGCACTACCACCCCCGTCAAAAAAAGCCTTGGGGTAACAAGGTAAAGAGGAAATTAAGTGTTGGAGGAGAGTCCGAGTATCAAACATCAAATGGCTATGGGTCAGAAACCAGAAAGAATGAAACAGCCAGAGGAATGGAGATGAGGGTACCTTGGTAAGGAGAGATCCTAGGTTTTGGAACAGGAACACCTAAGAAGGGGTCTTTAATTTTATGAAAGTCTAGCCTCAGTCCAAAAGCTTATCAAAGCAGTTTAAATTTCATTCTGACTTACTGTTTCCCAAGGTCAAACATTACTCTGATATCCGATTCTCCAGCCACAGTTGCCAATTTTGATGGTCTGCTCCAGCCAAGGGATCCCCGATCTCTTTCTCCATGTCTCCCCCAGTTCCCCAGACTGGCTGCAATCTCACTGAGGTCAGAGAGCCAGGGAAGTTTTGGTGTAAGGGGAAGGGGGAGTATATGGCCGGCCTGAGTGGAGTACTGGACAGCTGAGAGGGGGAGGGCAGTGGCTACTGAGTTGACAGTTTTAAAAATAGCTAAGTCCAAAATTCCAGGAACGTTGGTGGCAGTAGGGTGTGGAAGTAGAAGCAATGGGAAGGGGAGGGAAGAGAAGCCAGAATATGGAGTACTAGGTACCAAGTGAGGGAGGGAGTAAAGAAACACTGGCAGTCGAGTCATGGCTCCAGCTTGTGTGATCTATGGTCCGTGCATACTTGAGGCAGCTCTCCAGAATTCTCAGTAATGAGCTCCTGATCTTTCAGACTTGTAATGAGCTATTGGATGCCCCTCATTTATTGCCCTCATCCTGCTATATTGAGTATTACATTGAGTTTCTACATACAGTGTCTAGAGATGGGTGACACTGAAGTCGCACTGCAGGAGTAGTTCACAGTACCTCCCCCATCTTTGCAGAGTATTTCTGCAAAGGCCACCTGTCCAGAGAAGAAATCTGAAATCTGAACCGACTTGTTTGGAAGGAGGGTTTATTCAGTCTGTCCAGCTCAGATCTTTGCAGCTGTCTATCCCTTACCTCCTCTGTTTCTATTGCCCTAGTTCATGCAGCAATTCCTCCTCCCTCCCCCTCATCAATACACATAAAAAACATAACCTTCTGGGTTGCTAGGGGAGAAGAATAAGAGAGGCAAAGAGATGAATTGGAGTAGGGGCTGGAGAGATGGCTCAGCAGTTAAGAACACTGGCTGCTCTCTCAGAAGACCCAGGTTCAGTTCCCAGCACCCACATGGTGGCTAACTGTCTGTACCTCCAGTTCCAGGGGATCTGACACCCTTTTCTGGCCTCTGTAGTCACTGGCCTATAGGCACTTATATACATAGTGCATTTACACACATGCAGACAAAACACTCACACAAAAATAATAAATAAAGCTGGGCGTGGTGGTGCACGCCTTTAATTCCAGCACTCGGGAGGCAGAGGCAGGTGGATCTCTGTGAGTTCAAGGCCAGCCTGGTCTACATAGTGAGTTCCAGGACAGCTGGGGCTACAAGGAGACCCTGTCTCAAAAAAAAGACCAAATAAATAAATAAGTAAATAAATAAATAAAATATTTTTTAAAAAGAAAAGAACAAAAACATTTCAGTGTGAATTTGATCAATCACTAGTCTAGAACTAACTACTAACACATAGGAAATGTAAGAAACATCAAATGGTTCCTCAGAGGTACAAATTCAGGTTGTGAAAATATTCTACAGGTCAAATGACCTGGGCTCAACAATAAATTGAAAAAAGTAAAGAAGAAACTGTCAGACTAAAGAAGACATCAAAGGGCTAGGGATGTAGCTCAGTGGTAGAGCACTGAGCTCACATGCATGAGATCACTGCAAAGTAAAATATGCTCAAACAAACCAAAACTTAAATTTGACATCAATGGTCTTTAAAAAAATTATACACACACACACACACACATGCACATATATATATATATGAGTGTTTTGACTGCAGCATTGGATCCCCTGGAATTGGAGTCAGAGACCAGAAGAGGGCATCAGATTCCCGGAGCTGGAGTTACCAGTGGTTGTTTCCATGTGGGTGCTGGAAACCAAACTCTGGTCTTCTGCAAGAGCAGCCAAAGACCACTGATTGCTCTTTCAGAGGACCTGGGTTTGATTCCCAGCACCCACATGATGGCAACAAACCGTCCTTCACTCCAGTTCCAGGGGAATCTGAAGCCTTCTTCTGACTTGCGCAGCATTGCACAACACGGGTGCACTCACATACATGCAGGCAATACACTCATGCACATAAAATAAAAATAAAGAACAAAATATTTAGAAAAAAAAAAGTAACCACTTTGAACCAGGCCTGATGACTTGGTCTGCTACCCCCGCCCCCATTGAGGCAGGAAGATTGAGAGTTTGAGGCCAGTCTGGGCTGCATAGACCCTGTCTCAACTTTCCCCACCAAAAAAATCCTAAAAAACAATAACACAAGGCGTAATGGAAATTGTAATTAAAACTATCTCATATTGCTTGGGAGAAATATGTCCATATTAGTTTTATGCTTTAATTATTATGCATTGTATGCACAGCCATCGAAGTAATGGAAAAAAATATTAGTTTTGAACTAAAAGAGGAAAGAAAATAACAAAACGGAAAAAAGACAGGAGAGGAAAAAAAACTGAAAATTAAATACAAAGTATTGTCATATTCTGAATTTTTAAAATAAGTGAATCTTGCTTGGCATGGTGGCATACACCTTTAATAGCCCCACTACAGGGAGACCCTGTCTTAAAAAGACCCCCTCCCAAAAAGAGTAAATCTTATTTCTCTACATAGAATAGTTTTGGAGGGGGGAAGGCAGGAAGCAGGCTGTGGCCTTGGGAACAAAGCTGTGAGTTTGGGATGTATTTTAGACACTGTTTATAAGACTTAATTTACTCTTTTTGTTTGTTTGGTTTTCGAGACAAGGTCTCCCTGGAGCCCCAACTGACCTGGAATTCACTATTTAGACCAAGCTGGCCTCAATTTCACAGAGATCCACCTGCCTCTGACTCCTGAGTGTTAGAATTAAAGGTGCATGTCACAAATTTTACTACTTTTGACAATGTCTATTTTATTTATTTATTTATATTTATTTATTTATTTAATGTGTTTGAGTATCTTGACTGTGTGTATGTTGTAAATGCACTGTGTGCATACAGTGTCCATGGAGGCCAGAAGAGGGCATCAAATCTCGAATTGGAATTGTTAGCTGCCATATGGGTTCTGGGAACCGAACCTGAGTCCTCTGTAAGAGGCAGAGACAGGTGCATATCTGTAGGACTGAGGCCAGCCTGGTCTACATAGTGCATTCCAGGCCAGCTGGGGCTACAGGAAAACCCTATCTTGGGGGTTCACAGAAGAATATAATACTCGGTTCTGCTTTTTTATTTTTTATTTATTTATTTATTTTGAGACACCACCTTATATAGCTCAGGATGGTCTCAAACTCCCTATATAGCTGAGAATGGCCTAGAACCTATGATCCTCCTGCTTCTACCTCCCAAGTACTGGGATTATAACATGGGACGTCGCACCCAGCTTTATGCTATTTTTATTAGCTTAGAGCTTCAGTGTATATTTGATCTCTTGCTTAGTTTTATTCTTTTTTCTTTTTAACAGATCCTGCCTCGTTTATTTGTAAAAAAACCAGCCATCTGCAAATAGTGGAGACAAAAGTGTCACACCAGTCCACCTGTCTTCCCATTGACCTTTACTGTGTGGCCTTCACAGAGTCCTGGCACCTTTGGGAGCCAGTTGAAGCTAGAGAAGGTTTGTCAGTCTCCGCCTTGGTTTAGGCCTTGTCCTTTGGTTGGCAGAACCAGTGGCCCTTAGCCAGTAGCTATGCCTCTGCTTCCAGGCTTGGGGTGAGCCTCAAACTTGTGATCTTTCTACTTCAGACTTCTAAATCCTGGGATTATAGACATTTGCCACCATACCCAGCATTATATATTTATGTATGGGTGTGGGTATGGGTGTGCATGCTAGGGACTGAACCCCAGGCCTTTTACATTCTAGTCAAGTGCTGTACCACACACACGTATTTTTAAGTGGGGTCCCAAACTTTTGGGCTCAGGAGATTCTCCTGCTTCAGCCTTCTAAGTACTGGTACAGGTCTCTCTTCCCTCCTGGGTTGTTGGCCACGGATCCACGAGAACAAAAGGAGCAGAAGCAACAAACAGGGTCAGGACAGCAGTGAGAACTTCTGGGAGTCCTCTTCAGTGAGACAGCTGGTTTACTTAGGGGAGTTGGAGGGAATATATAGGGTGAGGATGGCAGCCAAAGCTTTACCTGATAGGTGTTCATAGTATGCTTTATTTACATGTGGCAGGAGGACTCTATCATGTAGAAAAGGGAGGAGGGATTGATTGGTTGTAGTGCAATGCCTAATTATCATATGGGAAAACCAGGGGCAGCATTTGCAGGGAACTATGTCAAAGGTCATCTTCCAAATAAGGTCAGGCATCTGTGCTTGAAGACGCTTTCCAAATAAGGTTAGGCAGAGAATAGGAAGCCCCTGCTGAGAAAGGGAGTCCTCCATTTTGAGCTGAGCTTGGAGAGCTGACCGGACATGGTAGACTACGACCTTAACGGCAGGGTCCCCCAACATACTGTTATTACAGGCATCTGCCACCATACCCAGATCAATAGATTGGTTTACTATTTTCTGCAGTGACTTTGATGCTTGTAGAGCCAGAAATCAGTGTCTCCTGGAAGCTGCAGTGGACCATTCATTACCAATGAGATCTTGATTATGAAAGTAGAAGGTAACTATTAAAGGTAGACAGCAGTGGAAAATGAGAGAAATGTTAGGGTTACTTAGCATTTAATTTTGGCAGAACATGTTGAAGTGGGCCATGGAGAGACTTTGAAAGGAGAGTAAGTAACTGAAATCAAACTTCCATTGACTTCAGGATTTCTTAGTGGGGTCCTATTGGCAATATGGGAGGGAAAATTGTTTTAATTATCCTTGGTCAGGGGCAGAATATTCCCCTCACCAAGTGTCAGTGGCATCTGTAGTCATTATACATTTAAAAAAAATTTTTATTTTATTAACATTTTTTTAGACACGGTCTCCCTGTAGCCCCAGCAGACCTAGAACTCACTATGTAGACCAGGCTGACCTCAATTTCACAGAGATCCACCAGCCTCTGCCTCCCAAGTGCTGGGACTAAGGGTGTGTACCATTACATTCAGCTCTATTTATTTATTTTAAAAGTATATATTTATGAGCTGGAGAGATGGCTCAGCAGTTAAGAGCACTTGACTGCTCATGCAGAGGACCTGGGTTCGATTCCCAGCACCCACATGATGGCTACAAACTGTCCTTAACTCCAGTTCCAGGGGAATTCAAAGCCCTCCTCTGGCCTCTGCGGCATTGCACGACACTGGTGCACTCACATACATGTAGGCAATACACTCATACACATGGACCCAAGTCCTCTGCAAGAGCAGAAAGTGCTCTTAACTGCTGAGCCATCTCTCCACCCTGTCATTA